ACCTCCTACTACATCTCCACCATCTCAACCGATTCTCTCGCCCGTTATGTAAAGATAAAGAAGCTCTGACCAATTGGAAATGTCAATCTTTCATTGATCTGTACATCATACTCAATTGGTTTTTCAAAGTTTTTGATTTAGAGTAAGGGTTTGATTTAAGATGGCTTTTGTATAACAATTTTATATATTTTGGTTGCTCGGTCCAAGAAGTGCTTTAGCTTAGTTTTTAAGATGTAATTTCAACTTAAAATAACATATGAATTGAAAAGATAACTTTGTAGACTCGAGGACTTTGATATATCATGGAAATCCCTATATAAATCAAGATAAGATTACAGACATAAAGAGAACTTATATGTCCAAAATGAAATGTAAGGGGTCAAGAATAGTATCAACACCATGGTCCCATGTCCTTTAAATGAAATGTGGCTATGTATCCTAACGAACATAAACTACACCCGAAAATCTCTGGGGTTTCTTATAACACACACACACACACACACACATATATATATATACATATACATATATATATATACATATACATATACATATACATATATATATATATACATATACATATATATATATATGGGAATGATGTGGAAGCCACTATGAATGCATAATCATATTGTTTTGTATAATTAAAGTTTATGGCCAAAGGTTTTATTAGTAAATTAAAGAGAGTATGGCCAACTACTTATTATCCTAGACCTATCGAAGTTCTCTTACTACTGCATTTAATTTTCTTCTTAAATTAGTCATGGGATACAAAAGATCAATAAATATGACAATTTTAATCAATTTAGACAAGTGGAACTCCTACAATGATCTCATCATATGCAGACTGCTTCTATACSAACATATTTTTCAGTGATAAGTTCAGTTCACAAGCAAATAGYTGTGGATACGAGAACTCCTTTAGCATCCAGAATCATAATACAAATATTTCTCAGCTGCTCATTCTTGTTAAAGCTCCGAAAACCATTTGTAACTTTTCTCGTGGCACATTTACTTCAATGGTAGACATGAATATAAGAAAAAAAACCTATCATGAGTTGCGAGTCTTTATTTGACACATAGTGTTTATGGTCCGATCTCGTAAAGCCAATTGTTTAATTCATTGTATCTGCTATCRCGGCTGCTTAGGGATGTTCGCGAGCTAAGGAATKAGATGCTTTTATTTGTCTAAGGGCATTCACCATCAGGAGAAAAGATCTCAACACAAATTTAGTAGACTGTAAAATCGGTTTGTCATTTATGTCTTAGCTCATAATACAAAGGGAATAGATAATTCCTAAATAAGATTTCATAAATCTGGGAGAAATGCCTCCACAAGTCTTACAAACTCCAAAAGGTCCTAGAGGTTAGTTCTTTACAAAACCATGGTAGAAATTTAAAACTCCYATGTGGAAGTCATAATACYCCCAAACGWGAAGCAAGATCAGTGAATATGTCTTCTCTACATGGAATTGTGAGGCYCCCCATGGGATGGTTGTAACCAAACTCTTCCTCTGCCTGASATAATAATTCTTGAAATGCTGGTTGGCTTAACAATGAAATTGGAACCACAAATCTCTTCTTATCTTGCTCCCCAACATAAACGGCAAAATAACCTTTTGGGATGGCCATGTATGTATTGTTGCTTCCATTTGACAACGATCGTCGGAGAATCTGTTTTGCTTGAATGATCCGAGGCATAAGAATAGCCATTTTTCCAAGGAGGGCAGAGTCTGCTGCGTTCTAAAGGCGATGAAGGAAGAAAATGCTCAACTTAAATATTGGTGAGATATGTTGTGCTGGATTTGAGAGGGAGTTGTGGTTGTATTCTGCATAGGAATGGTTTATATAACCAATTGATTAAAGGAGAGGTAGATGAGAGATGGTGATGTGTGGTTGTAGAGAAAAAACAACATCACATGGTTTTGTCTTCCAATTCAACACCATTGTCCCTCATGGATGAAGCTTATCCATCAAATTAATAGTTGAATGATATCACAATAATGTTATGACATTTATAGTCAACAAATCTATTGGTTATATAATTTCAAGTAGATTTTGGAGTTCAATTGAACGGTAAATTAAACGTTTGAATTGTAAACGTTCCACTTAGACTCTCGTTTGTGTGAAATATAGGTATCATATATATATATATATATATATATAGTGAAAGTACATTTATCAGTTTAAATGCATACAAGAAAAATACTAAAGATAATAAGACGGCATTGTTCGATGTTCAACCAAGTACCGTTAAAGGAGAAAAATGCAACACATTCAGTGTTGTATATGTTTTGGATCAAGTCTCCTTGAGAAGAAATATGGATATGACATGTAATACTACATTATGTTCACTGCATTGTGTTCTCATTTATAGGTTCTATATGCTAGTTCGGCTAAAAGCTAGGGTACCACAAGGAAAATTTGTTAAAGATATTGTAAAATTGGCAATATTCATAACAGGTTATCCCAAAACCTGCTTAGGGCACTTGCGACACTAAGTATGGGTTTCCAACACTCAAATACAGCGAAGTAGGGTTCGAAAAATAGTCCYCGTATGGAGATCATTGAAAAGGACCCAAATACTTACCGCCTCCAACTCCCTAGCACCATTCACAASACCTCGGAAGTTTTTAATGCCAAATACCTTCTCGCATACAACCGTGCTAACTCCTCGGAGGATGGTCCGAGGACAAATCTTCTCCCATCCAGATAGGAAGATAGGATGATGTGGTACAAGAAGGATGTG